TCACTCCAAAAGGTTAATCATCTTCTGGTGAAGCCATTTCTTTGTTGATTTGGATGTATGCTTTGGGCCGTTGTCATGCTGAAAGATGAAGTTCCTCCTCATGTTTCTAGCAGAAGCCTGAAGGTTTTGTGCCAATATTGACTGCTATTTGGAACTGTTCATAATTCCCTTGACTAAGGTCCCTGTCCCAGCTGAAGAAAAACAGCCCCAAACATGATGCTGCCGCCATCTTGCTACACTGTGGATATGGTGTTCTTTTCGTGATGCGCAGTGGTTTTTTTTTTTTTTTGCACGAAACATATCTTTTGGAATTATGGCCAAAAAGTTTAGCCTTGGTTTCATCAGACCATAACACTTTTTCCCACATGCTTTTGTGAGACTTCAGATGTGTTTTTGCAAAATTTAGCCCGGCTTGGATGTTTTTCTTTGTAAGAAAAGACTTCTTTTTTGCCACTCTACCCCACAGCCCAGACATATGAAGAATACGGGAGATAGTTGTCACATGTACCACACAGCCAATACTTGCCAGATATTCCTGCAGCTCCTTTAATGTTGCTGTAGGCCTCTTGGCAGCCTCCCTGACCAATTTTCTTCTAGTCTTTTCATCAATTTTGCAGGGATGCCCAGTTCTTCGTAATGTCACTGTTATGCCATATTTTCTCCACTTGATGATGACACTGTCTTCACTGTATTCCATGGTATATCTAATGCCTTGCAAATTCTTTTGTACCCTTCTCCTGACTGATATCTTTTAACAATGAGATCCCTCTGATGGGAAGCTCTCTGTGGACCATGGCTTCTGCTGTAAGATGTGACTAAGAAAATGTCAGGAAAGATCTACTAGCACAGCTGATCTTTATTTGGGATTCCTCAGAGGCACTTTAAATGATGGCAGGGTGTACTGACTCCTACTTAACATGAGTTTGAATGTGATTGTTTACTGCTGAACACATCTACATCCCGTTATAAGAGGGTGTGCACACAGATACAACCATATTATTTCAGGTTTTTATTTTTACTTCCCTCCACCTAAAAGATTTCAGGTATGTAGCCAGAAACAAATCTGCTGAAGTGCCAAAATATGAGTTATAATCATGAGATAGAAGGGACCTATATGGCTATTGACGCCAACCCCCTGCTTAATGCAGGAGTCCAAATCAAAGTGTATCAGACAGATACAGTGGACCCTTGACTTACAGACAGCTTGACTTACAGACTTTTTGAGTTACAGACTTCTTTAGCCGCAAAATTTAGGTTTGACTTGCAGCCTGAGAATTGACTTACAGACCAGAAAAAAACCAAAATGGAACAAAAACAGCATGTTACGGGATTAATCGGTTTTCAATGCATTGTAGGTCAATGGAGACTTGACCTACAGACTTTTTGACCTGCAGCCACCGTTCCAATACGGATTAATTCCGTAAGTCAAGGGTCCACTGTAGTTATTTAATTTTCTATTGAATGCCTCCAGAGTTTAAGTGCTCATCAATTCCTGAGGTAACTGGTCCAATTGTTATACTACTGAACGGATTAGTCTCCTGGGTATTCCAGGTGCCTGGCCAGCCTAGGGCACAGTCTGGGTTTAATAACTGTCTATTCTCCCCCTCCAATAGGGGTACGTTGTCTTCGTCCCAGTCATCTGTCCAGATCAGGTCCCGGGAGGAGGCACTCTCCGGCCAAAGTCTCCCGAAGGACCTCTCTGCTGCTGCTGCATCATCAGCCATTCCAATCTCTCTCTCTCTCCATTCCCTCTAACCTTCTCTTTTTCCTCCCTCAACTTCTTCCTCCACTCCTTCGTCTCACGCTGCCTCCCAATAAGAGGGCTTGGGTGTAAACTCATTTCTTCTCCAGACATTGCTTCTTCTCTTAGGATCCTCAACTTCCCCACCTTCCCAGTCCACAGGTCCTCTAGCCATATCTACTCCCAACCATGAGGCAAGCTGCCCTCCCCTCCCTGTTTATATCCCCCAGTCCCACCACTACTTCTACCCGGGGTTGTTGTTCTTTTCCTGCCAAAATATGCCTGCCTTCTCCAACGGACATTCCTCTCAATTCCCCCTCCACGCTCCCCGGGCTTTGCTCAGGTGGTCTAATCTGCCTGGGAGGGGGGAATGGATGGTGCTTGCACCTCCTTGTCGGCAGAGAGCGGGAGGGATGGCACTCCCGTGAGAGGGGCCTTGCTCTCACCGACAGCCTCACAAACAGGAAGTTTTTCCTGATGTTCAACTGAAATATGGCTTCCTATAAGTTGAGCCCATTGTTATGTGACCTGCATTTTGTCCTTTTATTCCCTTCTTCCCCCTAATTTTGCCAAATGTGAGATGTATTTACAAAGAGTTCTTTAGAAACTGCTACTACAATCAGCACAGAAGTTCTCAAACTGTGGAGAGAGAAGAGTAGTGGACTCTGAGTCCATGTTAAAACATGGCAAAGTTTGCTCTAAACCTATTACTGTGCTAGGAATACTCTGCTACAGTAGTTTTAATGCTGGAACTAGCAGCATTAAGGTAGTCCCAATTTTGACTTTCCACATTCATAAACAATACCTCCTCTTTTCACACCCACTGTGTGTCACATCTTGAGTAGCTATGCTAAGCCCCCAGATACCACACAATTTTGGTGGGACAGGATTGTAGAGGGCGTCATTCTTGAAGCTATTGAGCAACTCACACCCCCTCTCCAATTCTAAGTTTCAGAAGAATGATGAGATAGCCTTTGTGATGCCAAGATGCCCAGGGTGAAACTTGCATTCCTCCCTGTGACTAAGGGTCCCAGAGTCCATCACTATACAGAAAACAAACCAGTGAAGGAAAAGGGTGGGCCACCATGGTATTTGGCTTGGATAGATTACCAGAGCCAGCCACAAACTATAGATCATACTGGTTAGAGTGCTAAACTCTGACTTCTTGACCGGCGACCCAGGTTCAAACTGCCACTTAGCTATGAAGCTCACCACTTAACCTAAGGCCCATCACCTTCTTAAACTATCCACCAGCGTGGCTGCAAAGATAAAATTAGGAGGGTGGCCATGAAACCAAATTGAGAAAAGGGCCATGCACGAATGTAGCAAATAAACAATGATAGGACACCATGCATAAAAATCTCAGTCCCCATCTACCAACACACATTCATTCTTTTTCCTGCATATAAAGTTTACGGTTTACAACGAATATTTAAATTTAAACAAGGAAAGTGTGAAAGAAAAGGGAACAGAACTTAAGAAAGTTACTTTGCCGGATTGCAAGTCTCCGAATCCTCAGTCAGCAGCGGGGACAAAAAAATAAAATCCGGAGAGAATAACCTACCTCGGCCTCCTCGGAAGCCTCCCCGGCCGCCACGATCCCCACGTCCTCCACGAGGGCTAAAACCTAAGGAAGGAAGCAAGCAAAGAAGGGGGGGGGTCAGCAAACACGCCGCCAGCCACGCCGCGAGAGCGATACCCTTCCCAACGCCTCCGCAGCATCCCCAATTCGCCCTGACCCCCCTCTTGC